AGTTTTGTAAAATTATTTGTTGAATGTATATATTTTTACCTGCTTCCTAACACCATGGGTCAAATAAATATCAAGTCTAAAACTGATTTGACTTTTTCCAGTGTACAACAACTTTGTCAACCATAAAAGCAACATTACCAAGAGCAATATCAACAATATAACCGCAAACGAAGTGAAAAGAGGAGCCAGAGCGAAAAAACTGCAAGCAAAACTATAAATAGCACCACAATGTGATAAGCGCACACATGGAAATGTCGAGCGGTCTGCTCCCGTTGCCATCCGTAGACCGAAGGAGAGGGGGGGTCTGAGGAGAATGCTTAAGGTTACACAGCAACAGCAGTGGCCACAAAAACAGCGACAAGTGCCAGGACTCTTTGAATTCTGGTATGCAAAGCGTAAAGGAAGCCATTTCTGGGCTCCAGCCTTTTATCCGACTGAACGTAACACAGTTTATGGTTGTCAAAGTTATCGCCCCACATGCTCGACGACGGCGAAACGTCGACATTGGGGCTGTCGAACTGCCGTCATCAGCGGGGGACATTCTAAGGCACAGTGGCAATTAAAAGTAGAATCACACGTATAAAAATTCCATATAAAATGTCCATGTTGGAAGTTTTGAAATATAAGCAAATTAAGGCAAAAATAAATTAAATATAAAAAAAAATCTTAGCTTGAGCAATTTTTTGGACCAGTTTGATCTAAAATTTGAGCTTGAACCATAATTACAGCACAACATTATAGCGACTCTTGTGAAATTCAACTAAATCTTGATGCCTGATCAGGTTCCCCTTGAGATGTTAAAGTAAATCGCGTACCTAATATTTAGAAGCGTATTTATCATCATACTTTATTTTACTTTATTGAACATACTGATATCTAGGTATCTATGTCAACTGCACTATGGCTGACATTTTTAGATTTTTTGGATTTAAAATTATTAACTGCGTTCAAATGCTTAGATGGTTATACATATGTGGTCCCACTGTAGTCTTGCTCTCTTCTCCGACCTCTCTGCGATAATTTTTGCTCATGGTTTCCGAATGACTGCTATGCTCTTCGTATTTCTGTCCCGCTTTGGCGTTGTGGATTGCCCATCTATCGTTGTTATTGTAGTTAAAAATTTTTTTTAAGATAATAAAAACTAACAAGTAGTGTTTATTTGTTAACAAAGGCAAACGGCAACAGGTTCGTTGACCAGCCATTGATCGTTTAGAGAGAAAAAAAGAAGGCAAAACAATGTAATCGACCGTCTCGACTATAAGATACTTTCTACATACATTGCTTACCTAAAAGTAGTTTTGTTTGAACTTTATGAAAGAAATGAGGAGGTGTTTAATAATTTAGTGAAAATAAAATAAAGTTCACAACACTAATATAATGTATTTGTACCATATAGTGAAGCGGGTATCTCATAGTCGGGGTTTCTCCATTAGCATGCAACATTGTGAGAGGCTAGGTATTACAGAAGATTCAACTTGGCTTAGTTGGAGTTACGACTTTTCACTGTATTTGGTATGCATTGCGGGTGCTTTCTGTTGCCAGATGGACATTGAATTTGGGCTCTCTGCCTACTCCAGTTCTTTCGGTGCTGCCCATCAAGGTCAGAGTGTTGTGGGTATTTGAGCGAGTGAGGTTTTAAGGAACAGCAACAAAACGAAGCTTCACTAATGAGAGTTGCCCGAGCTCGGTGACAGATGCACTAGCGTGGATTAAAAATGTGCAAAATGCAAACAAAAGATTGCGGCCCTCAAACACAAACTGCCTGCGCTGGCAGCAACAAAAACAAATGCAACGACGTTGCAGGAACAACAGAAACAATGGAACAAACAGTCATCTTCCAACTCCCCCACTCTTTCTGTCTCTACTTATTTCTCCTTCTCGCACACGACAAATGGAGCTCCCGCTAAAAACGAAGAGGAAATGAAACAGCGGTAAATCTGGGCCATGCAAAATGTTTTAAATCGTAATTAAGCCGATCAATTTATGCTGCGAAATGTTCGTGTTTTCGTTTAGTGCAACTGCATTTAGCATATTGATGACTTGTTTAAATGTGTAATTAATTAATCCAAAGGCTGAGCTTGACTTTACACGTGACTGGTAATAAAATCAGTCGTTAGGAAAGCTCGACAATAACGAGCGTACAATAATGGTCATATTATTAGTACAGTTATGTTACAGTCGTTGTCAACTTATTGGAAACAAGAGTACTTTATTAATAATCATAGATAAGTTCCGTGTATCATGAACCAAAGTTTTTAGTTTTAGAACTACATAACTAAAAAAAAACACTAACAGGATCTTAACACATAAGCAGGTTAAGCACGCTGTCATTTAATGACGAGAACTGCGGAGGATAAATAGGCATGCCACAAATGTACATTGTACACACATATGTATGTATGTATGTATCGACGTACATATGAATAAGTGTTTGCTTTTATCAATGTACATTTTTTTTTTATTTATTCGAGTCGAAAAAGATGTTAAAGCTCAGGAAGGTTGAAAATGTTTTGCATTTATGTACATACATACATATATTCGTATTTTGAATAGCCACGCAGCTTTTCATTCAGCTTTTCCTCAGTTGCTTCACTTTGCTTTGTTTTCCTCAACTTACTTTATCTTGGGTATTGCCAAAACGTATGTATAAATCTCTAAATTTCTAAAATTTCAGCAAGTTTAATTTGAATGGAACAGCTGGCCGAATTTCAGTGTATTTCTGCTGAATTTTTAGCCATTTAGAGATTCAGACGTTTGGGGAATACCCAAATTGTTTTCATTTCGCGTCGTTCGCCTTTCTTTTTAATATCTACCAAGTATTGTTTTTGTTGTCGCGCCGCGTCTTCATGAATTATGCCGGGAAATGTTGTTGGTGACGTTTGAAATGAATTGAAAAACTTAAAGAAAACTGATAGGAAAAGCGTAATATTAATTGTATTAATTGTTGTTCAAAATCGGTATATTGTTGTATTAAATAATATTTAATTTTTGAAACATTTCCAAAAAATTTTATCTTAGGCCTGCCGAAGTTTCCTTCCTTTCTTGTTACTTCCTTATACCAGTTTTCTAGCCGTTTTATGTTTTTGAGGCTACTTCAACAGCTTCTAAGGGAATGAAAAAAGTTTTTTAACAGGTTTTCCAATAATGGGTGAAAAAAAAAACAAGTTACAATGTTCCAAAACAATCAAAGCTTTAGCAATCCTTTTGTCAAGGTCGAAGGTTTAGTTTTTTTTTTTTGTATTAGAATAATCAAAAAAATAATTGCCTGCCGCCATTTAAAACTTCTTAAGTATACTTAAAAACAACCAGTGTAAGTAAATTCAACTTAGTAATTATGGAAGTTTTCGTTACTTATTTTCATTATATATTGTAAAAGTAGAAGAAAAAAGCAGAATTAAGGCAAGGACAAGTGGGTAAAAGTTAAGAAGGAGCAATTGGCAATCGGTACAATTCGCATCAAAAACGAGGGAAATATACATACATATATTGTTCAATGAAAAACGAAAAAGTTTTCAACTTGAAATATGAGACGAGTCGGCGGAGCAAGTACAAGGTAAAACTGAAAAGTTGGCTTTTGTACCACTTTGTATATTTCTTTGTGCTGAGCCAGCATTTTTTTAAAGTGAAGTGTTAGTCTCGATATCAGAGATATTGGCATAAAGCGAGGAAGTAACCGTGGACAAGCATAAATTTAGTTCGTCTCGCTCATCTTTTTTCTGTTTAGTTTTACTTGATTTATGACTACAGTGTGCCCGTAGTAAGATATTTTTGCTATAGCACAAATGCCCTCACACAAATACACCACAAAGCTGGATACTAGACAAAAAACATGGCCCGACTATAAGATACCTCTTTCTCACTGCAATGTTAAAGAATATGTGAGTTCTGTTTAAGTCAAAATCGTTTTATTGACAAAGAACTGTCAAACATTTAATTTACGTTAATATGTGAAAAAATTTACTGAAATCTTTTTTTCAAACTGTTTTGCGGACAGACGGACTTGGCTGTTGATGATAATCATGCAAATACCCTAAGAATTCAACGAATAACAGGTATTAGAAACACACACAGATGGAGCGACAGAAATCGAACTTTATTGATAGCCGCGTTGTGGCAATAAAAAAAAATGGGGGTGGCAACAGGCGTGGCAGCGGGAGATGCTGACAGAAATGTTTGTGGGCGTATTTTTATACCCGTTACTCGTAGAGTAAATAGGATATATTGTATTCGTTGGAAAGTATGTAACACGTAGAAGAAAGCGTTTCCGTCCTTATAAAATATATATATTATTGGTCAGGATCAAACCGAGTTGATCTAGCCTTGTAGGGGAAATACTCAGTTCGAAGTTTGTTGGCTCAGTAACGGATATCTAATAGTCGGGGAACTAGACTAGCGTTCTCTCTTGTTGATTTTGAGTTTGTGTGATATGAATGCAATAGAAAAATGTATGCCATGCTTATGCTTCGCACTTGTTTATGGCCAAGAAACTGACAAAAGCAGATGAAGAAAAATATTAAGTGGCCGAGAGAGAAGTTAGGGTGAGGATAAGCAGTACGTCCAAAACCCAGTCGTTTCTTAAACAGCAAAGCCATAAAAGTTGTCCAGCCTTGACACGGCTTTTAATAAAATACAATAAGAAAGTTACTATTATTAAAAATAAATAAATTCATTATCATATAAAAAAACGTTTTTTTTTTCTATTTATTCTATTATTAATTTCTTTGTATGTTTTCAACATTTAAGATTTGAAATTTCTGGATTCCACTCATGTTTTTCCACCTACTTATAAGTATCATGGCCAATATTTCATCATACACAGGGTTTCTTTTTTTATGGTTTATCAGCCTGCCTGCTGGTAATTCCTGAGGTTAAATGACAATGATAGAGTGAAACGAAAAAACATGTTAAAAGAAATGCTCCCTTTTTATAAGTACATGTACCTATGGGTGTACATACATATGAGAAGAAAAAGATATGACTAGATGTAAGAAAGCAAGAATATATGTATGTGTCGTAGAATGATTAATTTGCCCACTGTATATGTGTGGCATAGAATGGTTAGTTTGACCATTGTGCATGCATGTACAGTTTGAGTGGCGACACGATGTCGCTAACGGTGGTTTTCAGAACGCGCAACAGCTAAGGAAAAGAGACATCCTCTGCTGTTGAGTAAGGTCTGTTCGTAGGGGCGTAGAAAAGAGATAGCATTATGATCTGCAAAACTTGTGAAATAACTTGGAATGTGCGTAGTGAGTTCAGTTACGATCACGCCACTGAAACGAACAGAACTTGCTGCGTCCGAAAAATGGAAATAAATGAGCCATCTCCGACATCAGAAGTGGGATCTGCTTTGCCTACTGATCCACATTTGTTAGCATTGGAACTGCAAAATCGCAACCTGATGGAAATAATTAAAAACATGCAGACTCCAAAGGCGCCGCAATCCGATGGTAAAGCTTCGCACATTACCTTACCAAAATTTAACCCTGACGTGGCTGGAGTGGAGCCCTCACTTGGTGCAGCACGGTGGACCTTATATTTGCTGATAACGATCTCCAAGGTAGCAATCTGGTGATAGCACTAAGTAAAGCACTAGAAGGCACCGCATCACAGTGGCTTTCACAAATATGCTTTGCCGGCATCACTTGGGAGCAGTTCAGGGAACTGTTTCTTCAGCGTTTTGTTGGAATTGAAACCTCTGCTGGCATGGTTCTCAATGTATTGAAGGGTCGACCGAAACCAGAAGAAGGCTTTGCTGAATACGGCAGCCGGATTGTCACGATGCTTATGTCTAAATGGAAAGCCAAGGATTTAGAAGAAATAGCTGTGTCCGTAACTTTGGCTCACATGGCTCAAGTTGACAGCAAGTTGGCGCGCTGGATTTTTACCACCAATGTAAAAACTCGCAATGAGCTACAACAACAGTTGCAGGCACACTCCTTCATGAAGCGTAGCATAGAAGACGATGCAACTGGCTCGGATCGCAAAAAGTTCAAATCTCCGTCCCTGGTGAAATGCAACTACTGCGGTTGGGCATAAATATGCCGAATGTCGGGCACGTTTGCAGCAGGGCCAGAGTAAAGGCAAAACCTACAGCGGCACAAATACGACGGGTGTGAAAGATCGATCTGGTGTCAAATGCTTCAAATGTGGCGAAATTGGGCACTTTGCATCCGCATGTCCTAAAGTCCGATCAGGTGGATGCGAAAGAATTTTTGAGAAGCGAGTGGATATCTGCGCAGTAGCTCCACCCTCTGGAACAATAAAGGCATCCGGTGAGTCTGTTCCATTTTGTTTCGATTCCGGTGCAGAATGCTCACTGGTCAAGGAAAGTGTCGCCCATAAATTTAAAGGGAAAAGAGTTAATAATGTTGTAAAACTCAATGGCATAAGTAACGATGCAATTTATAGCGCTCAACAAGTTTTATGCAAAATAAATATTGAACAATACTGTTTTGAGATTTTGTTACACGTAATTTTAGACAAGTATTTGAAATTCGATGTGTTAGTTGGTCGAGAGATTCTTAGCCAAGGCTTTGGCGTGATGATAGACGCTGATAAATTTCAAATTTATAAAACGAAAATGATAAATAAGGTGACTTTAATTGATTACGAGGATATTATAAGTTCTGATACAGATTTAGTTGATTCCGATAAAATTGTCTTAACAAATATCCTAAAATGCTACTCTGACTGGTTTATTAGTGGAATACCAAAAACTCGAGTCTCGACAGGGCTGTTGGAAATTAAGTTAATAGATCCACAAAAGACAGTGCAACGACGTCCCTATAGGCTTGGCGAGGAAGAGAAAAACCTGGTGCGTTGTAAAATCGATGAGTTGTTAAAAGCAAATATTATCCGTCCAAGTTGCTCACCTTTCGCCAGCCCAATGATGTTAGTGAAAAAGAAAAATGGCACTGATCGTCTTTGTGTGGACTACAGGATGTTAAATGATAATACCATTGCTGATAGGTATCCATTGCCTCTTATCGCAGACCAAATTGCCCGGCTTCGCGGTGCAAAATATTTCTCGTGCTTAGATATGGCTAGTGGTTTTTACCAAATTCCAGTACACGAAAATTCAATTGAACGAACCGCGTTTGTGACTCCAGAGGGCCAGTACGGGTTTTTGACCATGCCTTTTGGCTTGAAAAATGCACCTTCTGTTTTTCAGAGGGCCATAACAAGAGCATTGGGATCACTGGCACACTCATGCGCTGTCGTTTACATTGATGACGTGTTGGTTATAGCCGAAACTAAAGAAGAAGGATTAGAACGGTTGCGTATTGTATTAGAAGCATTGAGTAAAGCGGGATTTTCATTTAACATAACCAAGTGCTCCTTTCTTAAAACTCGCATAGAATACCTAGGTTTTGAGATAAGTAACGGAGAAATTAGTCCAAACGCACGTAAAGTAAAAGCATTGTTAGATTTACCGCCTCCACAATCTGTGTCGCAATTACGACAATTCATAGGATTGGCTTCGTATTTTAGACAGTTCGTTCCAAAATTCTCGGAAACGCTTAAGCCTTTGTATCAACTCACATCAAAGAAAAATTCTGATTTTTCTTGGCAACAGCAACATGAGCAAATAAGGACTAAAATTATAACAGTTTTGACGCAGGCACCTGTGTTGACTATATTCGACCCGAAACATGCAATAGAATTGCACACCGATGCAAGTTCGATTGGCTATGGTGCTATATTGTTGCATAAAATTAACGAGAAACCCCATGTGGTAGAATATTATAGTAAATGCACATCCCCTGCCGAGTCGAAATATCATTCGTACGAGTTAGAAACGCTAGCAGTAGTCAATGGTATCAAACACTTCCGTCACTACTTGCAGGGACGTAAATTTGTCGTATATACGGACTGTAATTCCTTAAAGGCTAGTCGCACAAAGCTAGACTTAACGCCGAGGGTACATAGGTGGTGGGCATTTTTACAATCGTTTGACTTTAACATAGAATACAGGAAGGGTGATCGTATGGCGCATGTAGATTGTTTATCTCGGAATCCAGTGCCCGATAAAAATAATGGTCAAAATAAAATTCCAGAAAAACGCATTAATTTAACCGAGGTAACTGACAACTGGTTGATTTCTGAACAACAACGTGACCCTGAGGTAGCAGATACATTAGCTAAGTTCAAAAATAACGAATTGCCAGAGCATTTATTAAAAACCTATGAATTAAGGAAAGGAGTTTTATATAGAAAGATACAACGAAATGGCAGGACTAAATGTTTGCCTGTAATCCCTAGGGCATTTAGATGGGCAGTGATTAATCATGTTCATGAATCCATCATGCATCTAGGTTGGGAGAAAACATTGGATAAAGTCTATGGATTTTACTGGTTTGAAAATATGTCAAAGTACGTTCGTAGATTTGTTGAAAATTGCATTACTTGCAAATTAGCTAAGCCACCAGTTGGAAAAATTCAATCTGAATTGCATTCGATTCCTAAGGTAGACATCCCGTGGCACACAGTGCATATTGATATAACAGGAAAGATGAGTGGAAAGAATGACCTAAAGGAGTACGTAATTGTCTTAGTAGATGCGTTCACGAAATTTGTTTACTTACATCACACCTTAAATATTGATACTGAATGTTCAATCAAAGCTGTTAAGGCCGTCGTGTGTTTGTTTGGTGCGCCTACACGCATTATAGTGGATCAGGGCCGCAATTTTGCAAGCTCAGGATTCCGTGAATTTTGTTCCTCCCAAAAGATTGAGCTACACTTAATTGCTACAGGCGCGAGTAGGGCAAACGGCCAGGTAGAGCGTATAATGAGCACGCTTAAGAGTATGTTGACAGCAGTCGAAACCAGTCAGAGGTCGTGGCAAGATGCTCTAACCGAAGTACAATTGGCAATTAATTGTACCACCAATCGAGTCACAAAGTTTAGTCCATTAGAAATGCTTATTGGTAGAGAATCTAGACCTCTTTGTTTGTTACCAATAGGTGAAGAAGAGGATAATTTAATTGATAGAGAGTCTATAAGAAAACAAGCCAAGGAAAATATGGAGGCTAATGCTCGTTATGATAAACATAGATATGATAAGAATAAAGCAAAGATAATAAAATATAATGTGGGAGACCATGTTTTAATAAAAAACGAAGAGCGTCACCAAACTAAGCTTGATCCGAAATTTAAAGGTCCGTTCGAAATAATCGAACAACTAGATGGCGATAGATATGTTTTAAAGTCTTTAACAAGCAAAAGAACTTATAAGTATGCACATGAGTTTTTGAGGGCATTGCCCAATAGAGAATTAAGTAAAGAAATTGATGAAGAACTAGATGACTCAAGAGGAGATGCATCTGACTCTGAAATGAGAAATAGAGATAAAGATGGCACAGCAGTTGCCTTGGAATCCCAAGAGGGGATATAGAGACCGCACCATAACAGATGGAATTGTTATGGCGGGGGTCAATCGACCGCACCATAACAGATGGAATTGTTATGGCGGGGGTCAATCGACCGCACCATAACAGATGGAATTGTTATGGCGGGGGTCAATCGATCGCACCATAGTAGAAGGACTTACTGTGGCGGGGGTCAGTGTTGATAGCACCATGACAGAAGGACTTGTTATGGCTAAAATCAGTTAGAATAACTACACAACATAATGGAATTACAGAAAAGAAGAATTGTTAAGTTTGACTTAAGACAAAATGTTATGAAAACGTCTAAGTGATGTCATTGTAAAACCAATTTGATTGTTTGGTATAAAAGTTGAAACTTTATATAAATAAAAGTTAATGAATTAAATGGTAAATAACATTTGACGATAATTGAGAAAATCCTAGATCAAACACACGAGGACGTGTGATTTGTCAGGAAGGCCGTGTCGTAGAATGATTAATTTGCCCACTGTATATGTGTGGCATAGAATGGTTAGTTTGACCATTGTGCATGCATGTACAGTTTGAGTGGCGACACGATGTCGCTAACGGTGGTTTTCAGAACGCGCAACAGCTAAGGAAAAGAGACATCCTCTGCTGTTGAGTAAGGTCTGTTCGTAGGGGCGTAGAAAAGAGATAGCATTATGATCTGCAAAACTTGTGAAATAACTTGGAATGTGCGTAGTGAGTTCAGTTACGATCACGCCACTGAAACGAACAGAACTTGCTGCGTCCGAAAAATGGAAATAAATGAGCCATCTCCGACATACAGTGACGAACTTAATTATTGGCACAGTTGGCATGTCTGACTTTAACATTGCTTTTCTCCACTAAAAACTAAGATATAAATTTAAAATAAATTTTATTCATATATATCGATATTCTTACAACAAAGCAAACTTTATTTCATTCTTGTATCACATTTCTAGTAATTATAAAAATTAAAATTATAAAAAAACACCAGATTTTCGTTGAACAAAATTATTGGCACACTTAGCCAAAAATGATAAAAATAAACATAAAAAATCGTTTTAAAATTAAAATTAGTATTTTGTGGCTAAGCCCTTATGCTTAACGACTGCCTCCAATCGCCTGAACATCGAAGAAACTAAGTTTTGGGTAGTTTCTGAACCAATATTGTGCCACTCCTCTACCAGTGCCACCTTCAGCTGGGCCTTCGTGGATATAGCTCGTTTTTTTACCCGTCGATCCAATTCTTCCCAAAAATGTTCGATAGGGTTTAGATCTGGAGACTGGGGCGGATGCGGCAAAGTATGTTTTACATGATGTGCGAGCCACATACGGGCATCATGAGCCGTATGCTTTGGGTCATTGTCGTGTTGAAAAGTGAATGTGGCTGGTAAGTTCAACTTTTCGGCACTTTTTTTTAGTTTTCTGTTAAGGATATCTAAATAATACTTTTTGTTCATGATTCCTTAAATAAATTCCAGTTCGCCGACACCAGCGGCGGACATGCAGCCCCACACCATAACGCCTCCACCACCATGTTTCACAGACATAGCAAGGTTCTCTTTACGGAGTTCCGTATTGGGCTTTCTCCAAACAGTTTGGCGGCCATCAGATTGAAAAATGTTGAATTTACTTTCATCGGAGAAGATGACATGGTTCCAAAAGTCTGTTGGCTTACTCAAATGTTCTTTTGCAAAGGCCAAACGCTTCTGCTGGTTGACTTTTGAAATAAGTGATTTTCTTCTTGCAACGCGGCTTTTGTAGTTAGCTTCGTGCAGTGTCCTCTGAACCGTAATAGGGTGAATATCTTTTCCAAATTCATTTTTAACTTCAGCTGCAATCTTTGTTGAAGAGATTTTTGGGTTCACCTTCACCTTCCTGATAATCCTGGCCTGTTCCCGGTTAGTCAAAGCTTTGGGTCGACCAGTATGCTTAGCACTCTCCAACGGTGAGGCTCCTTTAAAACGCTGGACAATGCTTCGAATGGTAAAACGGCTTCTATCCATCATTTCCCCAATCTCAGCATATGATTTGCCTTGATTATGCAAATATAAAATTATTTTCCGTTGAGATTCAGTGGTTTCCTTTTGTTTGCCGCTCATTTTAATAAAATTTGATCAATTTTGTTTAAGAATAAGGCACTGCGTGGTTTTTAGCTTGAAAATGTATAGCCACGCAATTCCGAAAATAAAGATAACGAGACTTTTGAAGAAAAATGTAGCCAGATCGATGATATTTCGACAAAATAGTTCACTATTACCTAAGTGTGCCAATAATTTTGTTCAACGAAAATCAGGCGTTTTTTTATAATTTTAATTTTTATAATTACTAGAAATGTGATACAAGAATGAAATAAAGTTTGCTTTGTTGTAAATTTATCGATATATAAGAATAAAATTTATTTTAAATTTATATCTTAGTTTTTAGTGGAGAAAAGCAATGTTAAAGTCAGACATGCCAACTGTGCCAATAATTAAGTTCGTCACTGTATGTATTTAACTTAAGAATGAAACTGCGCTTGGATGAAAGAGTTACGTGCCAAAGCTAACAAAAACGGATTACATATAAATGTACGTGTGACTTAAAGTCAAATCAAAAAGTAATGTCAAGACAATGAGACATGACGCAGTCAGATCAAGTAATTTTTGAAAATTACTTTAGGTCAAAGTTTTGGGTTTGCGAAACACTAATATCACAATCACTTATATGCAGAAATCGCGGAGTTAATTTAAGTCAGTTAAAGAGTATTTTATTTTAGCCCAATATGAGAAAACGATGAATACGTTTTGGAAAACATTTATGTACAAAGACTGTATAAAAATTTTTATGTATTTGTTCTATTTCTTAAGTTATTGACACCCTCTGTATTTGTTAGTTCAATGCTTCGAGGGAGCACTATATACAAATTGGGACTTCAATGAGGTCAAAAATCCCTACCAAATGCACACAGCCATTGTACTGTAGGCTAAAGGTACTGCAAAGGAGCTCAAAGCGCCGCCAACGGCAAAGGAGGCGAAGGAAAAGAGCGCGATAACGAGGACGAGGACAAAGTGAATCTTTGAATATGACGTCGCAAAAAAAAGAGTGCGGTTCGTAATAAGGAGACGTAAATGAAACGAGAGGAGAAAGGGGAGAGCGACCAAATTTAGACAAAAGGGGAAGCGGGTCACTCTTTGCCAAAAAGCAACAATAAACATAAGCAAGGTGAAAAATACAAAGGCAGAGCGGAAAAATAAAACTAAAACAATAAGGGGGGAGGCATAAAAAGTGGGCACACTTTGAACGAATTTACAAATAACGCAAAGCAGAAAAGAGGCAATAACAGCAAAAGCTAGCAAGCAGCCAAACAACAACAAAGAGTACAATGTTAAATGTGGCCTCTGGAATTTTGTTTCGTTGCCAAATTGTTTCGCCCAAAGAGAGAGGAAAAGCAAGATTCGCGGCGAGCAGCAACTCCAACTGTTTAAATTTTCAAGCATTTTTATTTTGTATTTTTCTTGCCATTATGCGTGAGTCTTGACAGGCACAGAAGCACACAGAAAAAAACAAACCTCAATATCAAATTGAAATGCGTATGTCAGACTAGATCTTTATTTGGTTGGCTCATGAGGCAATGATTGTGTTAAAATTATATTATTATATTTTTGTTTGTCAAATTCTTAAATTATCATAATTGCATTTTAATTTTCTTTTTGTGTAGAGTCGACTACTTATCAAAAAGTCTTTTTTGCCCCAATTCCTCACTGCATCACCTTCCTCTCTTCTATTCGTGTTTCTAGAGACTTTACTTGCTCTTGGAGTACCGTTACGCTTAATCGCCATGAGTATGTGTGCATTTGACGCGGTTGCGTCTCTCGTCACTATCCGCCGTCCTCTCGTCTGGTCTCTCACACCACCCCTTATATTACCACCCAGCAGCCACCTGCTGGTCATGCACAACAACTAAATCGAACAGTGGGTCCGAATGTTATGCGTAGAATCGAAAATGTTAGTCTGAAAGTCGTAAACGATACATCTGTATACATACATATTTATACAATCTCAATGATGTACAGATAACGAAAACTGTGGATATCTTTACAAAAGTCAAAAGGAATATTTAAGCTAATTCAAATAATTATTATTGCAATATTGCATTTACACGAAACAGCAGTTAATATAAAACATTTTGGTCGCTCTCATTTTTTCTTACGTTTATTTATTTATGACAAGCGTTACAAAAATTGCTAACAAACAAAACAATAAAATTTTGACTAACTCTACATATATAATATCCCAAAGTCTATTAAGAAAAAATGCATTTACTGATAGTTTTTAATAAAGCCCACCGTGCGATTCTGTGAGACCCTTTTTTCTCGGCTCCCACTTCCACTATCCATTTCCCACTTATTCGCAACCAGCACTTGCCTTGTAATTATTGTCATTACGTCATACGCAGGCAGAAACGCGACGCCGCACTGCAAGCCCACTTACTCGTCCCCCTTCCCAATCTGCCTCCCACGCTCCACCATTAGCCCCTTCAGTCGGGCGCCCTCTGGGGTTTTGTTTTGATTCGCCTTGGCTTTTAATTTGGCGCGTCGCTGGTGCGCTTAAAAGAATTCCGTCGCTGTCCCATTTTCTGAAAATGCGATAGGGGAGAACTGTAGAGATTCTCTCTGCGGGAAAAGAGAGGGGCCGACAATAAATAAAGAAGAGAAAGAGCCAGAAACCGAAACCGGGCATCTATGATGGCTCTTTCGCGCTTATTTTAATGTGCATTTAAATGTTTGCTTTACGTAATAATTTGTTATTTTATTGTTGGTACATGCCATGAATCGCTAATGGGACGCCCATTTCGCAGAGTTTTGACAAGCAACAAATAAATAAAAGCCCAGCAAAAAATAGAAGCCTGGCAATTAACTTTGACATCTGACGAGCACGCGATAAAAGTTATAGATGACAAAGCGGCAAGTGGGCGGAAGAGGCGGGGCTGGGCAAACAAATTTGATTGCTTAAATGACGCGTGAAATTGGCATCGAAACTTCAATTGAACTTGAGGATAAGAGATCGAGTTGCACTCCAAAAAATAACACACCTTGAAATCACTTTTACTTTTATTCATTTTCTACCTGGGCTTTATCCGTCCCTTGCTTTCGTGGGTATGTGCGCAAAAACAACAACAGAAACCTCTAAACAGCTGAGCGTCCGTCGCACACACATACAAAGTCACACGTGCTGTGCTTTTAGTCAAATTAATACAAAAAAAGGTATACGCACAAAAGCCGGAATGACTTACCTTCCCACAATAATTTCCCAGCAGATTCTTCAAACTCTTTTCGGCGAATTGAGCTTTATTTTCACAGTATAGGGCACTCTTATTTTATTTATTTTCTTTAGTTAAGTACGATTTTAAAGAATTTTGTCGCAAAACGCCGCGTAAGTATATAGTTTTTCGAGTCGACGCGGAGAAAACTAGCAAATATTTTAGAGGTGGAAACATCGATTCTAACTTTGATGTCATCGATGTTTTCAAAACATCGGTAATAATGATTGGCAAGGCTTTCATCTCTAACGAGAATCGAAACAAAATGGTTGTCCTTCAACAAAAGGAAACAAATTTCCAAAACTTAAGCAAAACAAAAGCTTGTTAAATTCCTTGGTATATTTTTAAATCTTGTTTTAGTTCCACATATAATTGGAGTTCAAACTCGAAGTAATTTTTAGCGTTGGTTATCTTAATTATAACACACGTTCTTAACTTTTTCATCACGTCTTGTTGCGCCCGGATTACAGTTTTTATTTGACAAGACCGGACTTAAATAAAATAAGCTAGAAATGCTCTAATTACTAATTTATCTGTGCCACCACTGATTCACAAATCTGTTAGCAGCACCCTGTTAACATAACTATCGATAACAGTGCCTGTCGATAGCAGCTGCCATATGTGACGAAGAGGAAGAGCGAAGAAAACACGAAAAACTCCAATGTTTGTGAAATAATTCGATTAGCGTTCAACGAGAATGCTGTAAGCGCAGAGAGGGAGCCAAAGGACACACATTCCCACTCCCCAGGAATCACAGAGTTTGACGAACCCAGGAAACACAACTGTCCGGTGGTCTCATGGCCAACAGGAACATGCGTAACACGAACACCACAAAAGTGGAGGCTCTGATCGAGAGCTGCCGCAGCGAGGGCAAGTGGCAGCGGGTAATCGAGCTGACGGATGAACTGAAGACCGGGTCGCCGCACAATGGTGAGTAAGCTGGAGCGGATTGGTTTGATGACACTACGCCTGCCTGCAATAATTCCCCTCTCTTCCCCGGACTAGAGTGCCTGGCCAACTTTTTGGTGGGCGAGGCTCGGCTGGAGAACTACCTGGAAGACAATGCTCCTGCCGCCGACTCCAATTTCGGGCGCGCCAAGTCCGGCCTGGCCGAGGCTCGACGCTTCCTCCACTTGGCCCTTGGCGAAAGCGGCCAGAAGGCGGGCATTGCCCTGGACGCTTACCTGTTGCTGGCCAAGCTGTGCTTCGCCTGCGGCGAGTACGAGCAGAGCCTGGACAACTTCGTAAAGGCCGAGCTCAACACGCTGGCCGAGAAGGAGCTGACTCTGTAAGTTACGTGCAAGCTTAAACAGATTTTAAGTTAGCTACATACGTAGAAATCTGTTTTCTCGGAGAGATTTCTGTGACATTATTTTACTAATAATAAATATAATCTTTAATAGGCGTAGTTTGAAGATCCTGGCCGAGTCGTATGCCATCAAAGGACTGTGTCTGGAGCAGCAGACTTCGAAGCCGTCGTCAAAGTTCAAGAAGGCCGAAAAGGACACGGAGATGGTAGATTCTAGATGCATTCTCAAAAGCAGCCCTAAACTAACTTTGAATCTTACCCACAGATCAGCTGCTTTGAGCGGGCTACGGATCTGGGATTGCTTTATCTGCAGGAATATGACATCGTGAGTGGAAGCAGCAGTTCCAACAACTCGACTGCTGGCTCCACGCTCAATGTGAACGCGAGTGTGCAGCCGTCAAGCAGCAGCTTCGCTATCAGCAGCACCATACCGGCAAGCGGCCCGAGCGGCCTTGAAGTGAACCGTCGGATGGGCGCAATTCTGGAAACGGCCCTACAACGGGCACCAATAGTGCTTATCAAGACGGAAAAGCTTCAGGAGGCCGTCGAGCGATACCGCATCATGTTAAACGCCATCGAGACGCGAGCCACCCAATCGCTGCGTCTCACGCTCGCTCGCCAGCTGGCCGAAGTGCTCCTAAGGGGTGTGTCCGGTACGGTCTACACCCCGCCCTTCACCGGGAAATCGGGCGGTGGAACGCTGCGAGGTGGTGCCTCCAAGAAGCTCTGGAAACCGCGAAAATACGCATCCCGGCAGCAGTTCAATCCGCGAAACCAACAGGAGGAGGTTATACTGCTGCTGCTCATTGCCGAGGCTCTGGCTGTGAGGGATACGGTTCTATCGCAGAGCCCCGAGTTCCGTCAGGCCCGTCAGCATGCTATGGGTAACGTCACGGCTGTCTATGATCTCCTCACACTGGCCACTGTGCGCTGGGGCCTCGTGCAGCTGCTGAACGAGTCCTTCGAAAAGGCACTGAAATTCAGCTTTGGCGAACAGCATGTGTGGCGGCAATACGGACTGAGTCTAATGGCAGCCGAGAAGCACTCGCACGCACTGAGAGTTCTGCAAGAATCAATGAAGCTGACGCCTGGCGATCCGCTGCCTTGTTTGCTGGCCTCGCGCCTCTGCTACGAAAGTCTGGAAACGGTTAAGCAGGGTCTGGATTACGCTCAACAAGCGCTTAAGCGCGAAGTGAAGGGTGAGTTTGCATTAACTTTAATTTAGTTATCCATTTCAATTTCGTTCAATTGCAGGCCTGCGACCATCGCGCAGTCAACTCTTTGTTGGCATCGGCCATCAGCAGCTGGCCATACAGTCAAATCTAAAGAGCGAGCGGGATGCGTGTCACAAGATGGCTCTGGACGCACTGGAGCGGGCTGTACAGCTGGACGGGAACGATCATTTGGCCGAGTACTATCTGTCGTTGCAGTATGCGCTTTTGGGACAGCTGGCCGAGGCATTGACCCACATCCGTTTCGCACTGGCGCTGCGCATGGAGCACGCTCCTTGCCTACACCTGTTCGCCCTGCTGCTGACAGCATCGCGGCGTCCGCGAGAGGCACTGGGAGTGGTGGAGGATGCTCTGCACGAGTTTCCCGATAATCTACAGCTACTGCACGTTAAGTCACATCTGCAGCTTCACCTGGAGGACGCAGAGACGGCGCTGAGCACTGTGCAGCACATGCTGGCCGTGTGGCGGGACGTTTACGAGGCCCAGTTGGCGGGGGAGGAGGAGAAACACTCCGATACCAAGAGCGGCGTTCACTTGGCACATTCCTCACAGATGTCCGACAAGGATTCGAGTAAGTTTCCGCCAGTTTCCGCCTGCAATTAACTTACTCATATCTCTCTCTCCCTATTAATGTGTATGTTCTATGTATATACATTCGTGTATATACATATATATTAATGTATCCCAACTTCTGCGGAATGTGTGTATTGTGTACATAACAAACCAATCAAATTCGCTTAAATAATTGTAAGTTTTGCTAAGAATATATCCCGGTTTAATGAGCTCCGATCGCATGCATGTTGATCGAGCTTGGTTAACACCGAGATTCGCTTTCATTGAGTTATCCTGGTTTCGTAGCTAATTGCTAATTGCATATCTGCCTGCCATTGCTTGTTTTTCTCCTACGCAGTACTTTATTTATTTTAAAATCAATTTATATGTTTTTTTAATGTGATAATTAATAGATAACAGCAAAGTTCCTAACCTGCATAAAAAATTATAATGCAAAAACTAAGGACATCATCTTAGAGAACAAAAAATGTGATATTTTGTTCTTAGGCCCATTTCTCCTAAGCTTAAGTTAAAGTTTATCAGCTTTTGCAATGAAATGTATATATTATTGAGAACGTTACTCATTGATTTTAGTTCCGTAGCTGTTTGGAAAAATTTGAAGCCAAAATCTTACTTTTTTGGCCCAATTGACAATGCTTTCAGTACTTTAAAATGTTGTCCATTCTTCCTCTACAACTCTTACTCCTTTCCGTTTTTTTGTTCTTCTCATGTAATTTAACTTTTGCCATCGGATTAATATTATTTTTGTGTTTTGAAGATTCCGTATACGCTGCATCCCTGGCTGCAGTCTCACGCGTCGAACAGGCTCTGAGTGAAGCGGCCAGCTCGCTTAGCTCGTTTACCCAGCGACCAGGACCCCGACGACCCTGGATGCTCCAGATTGAGGTGCGTATGTTGATTGTAATTTCTAAATTATATAGAAGTTAATCTGATTTACCATATTCGTTTTAGATCTGGCTACTGCTGGCTGATGTCTATCTGCGCATCGATCAACCCAACGAGGCCCTCAACTGCATACACGAAGCTTCTCAGATATATCCGCTTTCGCATCAGATCATGTTTATGGTACGTTCTTCAATTATGCAAAATACTCGTTGACAACAGAGTGTTGGTTTTTTTTTTTTTTTTTTAATTTTTATATATGTTAAACTCAAACATCTACCAAAATTTGTATCTCACGTTTCCATCTAGGCTTAAAGAATATACTAACTAATTTTATTCTTTATTATTTTGTAGCGCGGTCAGGTGCATGTCTATTTGGAGCAATGGTTTGACGCCAAGCAATGTTTTCTGAATGCTGTGGCCGCCAATCCCAATCATACGGAAGCTTTACGCGCCCTGGGGCAGACTCATTTGATACTGGGCGAGCCTAGACTGGCCGAGAAGATGCTGAAGGATGCGGCTAAGCTGGATCCCAGCTGCCCCAAGATCTGGTAAGCTTTATAAGGGTTTCATTTGGGTTGCAAATCAGGACTCACTGTGTTGAATTTAACAGGTTCGCTTTGGGCAAGGTGATGGAGACCCTGGGCGATTTCCATGCTTCGGCCGACTGCTTTGCCACATCGCTGCAGCTAGAGCCTTCGTGTCCGGTGCTGCCTTTCACTTCAATACCGTTGGTCTTTGAATAGGAACCTTTCTTCGGCTTCCCGTTTGGTTAATTTGTAGCAGATTGAACCTCAACTAACCTCAAAGTGAACAGCAATATTACTTACTATATATATACATACATATATATACTTACAACTTGAAAAGTCCACACTCTTATTAATATCTTACCTTGGTTAATATTAATTGTTGTGTCGCAGTATTAGAACAAAAAGGATTTAAATATTGTATATGCGTGCGTGTGCTTGTAAATTATTAGCTAGCAATTGTTTAAAAGTTGATATGTATAAAAACTAATGAAAAACGTCCCGACCTACATCTTCAGGCGATGTTGAATGCGATATAATATTAAAAAATGTATTTCTTCCCTTGCTCCAACACTTAAACTTGTTCAGGTTGGAGCTGGTTTGGTTAACTTATTTCTTTTAGTCCCTGGAATGTTAATTATTGCATAAATATTTGATTGATATATAGATAAATTTTACTTTAAATTAAATAAAAAACTTCACCAACTATGACTCTTTATACTTAGCAATCGGGCATTACGGCAGTTATTTATTTTCTATTGTTTATTATCGCCAACCTTTCATTCATTCATTTCAAAATATTGTAATCAAAGTGAAAACATAGATACATGCGTATACGTTTATGTCCAAGAATTGTAAAATAAAAGGAAAAGATTCAAATCCATTAAGCGGTTTGGATGTGCCTACGCTGTGTTCTTTGTAGCCTCTCTGTTTCTAATACTCTTGTGTCCTTGTTTTGTTTTTTATTTGATTGCCCTACCATTTTCCCGAGACCTTTTAACTTCTGCAGAGGCTAAATGAAGGCGATAATTTCCGCATTCTGTGCTAAAGGCCAAAAACAGACCTCTATAACTGCCAAGGAGTTTATTTTGAGTTGGGGTTGCTTTTGGACATGTGGCGTTGCCAAGGACAACAAGCATATGGCCAATCAATGGAAAAATAAACAAGCCAGTCGGAAATGTCGTTGCAGTGCAGGCACAGGAATTTGGGTTGATTACGCCAGGCACAAAAAAAAAAAAGAAAATAGAAAAAATCCCTAGTGATCCAGTTTACAGTTTGACCCCATTGGATTAGGACCACTTATCTTGATGGCTGATTAGTTCCGCCCAAGCACTATGACACCCAAACGAAAGCGTCGCGGACGCAGCGAGTCGAGGGCCAGGAGCAAAGCCAAAGGACAGTCGGAGGCAGAGCATTTGCAACTGCTCGAGGAGCTAGAGTTGGCCGACAGTTGCTGCGAGATCTGCCACTGCGACTGCTACAGTTCCCACAACGGCAGCTCGGTGAGCGGACGGGTCATTCAGCGGCAGGAGAGCCTCAAGGAGCTGCTGCAACTGGACAAGGACATTCAGGCTCTGGAGCAACTGCAGCGCCGGGACAGCAGTGCCAAGAGCAAAAGGAGTGCCAGCAGTCAGGGCCACAGGAGTGCGTCCCGGTCGCCGACGGAGGGGAAGTCCTCCCACAGCAGACGGGGATCTGTCGACTGCCAGAAGAGGTCCAGAGGTACAGAGTCCGGCCGGAGTCGTCGGTCAAAAAGTGCAGGTAGCCACAGGAGTCAGTCCCGGGAGAAGCAGCATCCGCAGAAAGCAGAGCCCATTCCTCTGGAGCGCCGACGACGCGGTGCCCAACGGGATTGCAAGATGCTTCAGGTAAGCTGATAAGAAATACATTTTCGGTACAAACGCATATATTTTTTAATCGACTTCAGAAGAATTCTCGTTTTGATTCTTGACTACTGCAATATGGAGACTTAATAATTCGCAACTTTATATAATGTTTTTCAAATCAGGTTCTAAACATATAAATTACACATGATTTCCATGGTCTTAAGCTAGTTGAAAAATTCTATATTTGCCGAGGATTTTAGTATGCCCAATAAAATCTCATGACATATTAATATATGAGAGGAAGCCAGCGAGCTGACGTTTATTTTGCAACTATTGAAAAAATTAAATATTCTTAAAAACATATATTTTTAGATTTTTATGTGTATAAGTTCAAGCATTGAAAACAGAAAGTAAAACAGTGAAGCTATAACTTTCCGCTGAATTATTCGATCGTCCGATTTTAATAAAATTAAAGCCGTAATTCTGAAATATTAAAACAGTGGTTATAGTTTTTTTTCTTCTTTTCCGATTGTTCCTATGGAAGCTATATGATATAGAAGTACGATCCGGCTCGTACAACTTATACTACCTTCAATAGAAATACAAGTTTCGGGAAAGTTTAATGTAAAACTGAAGGACTTTTTTGCGTAAAAGTGGACGGACAGGGGGACAGACAGACATGGCTGTATATATATACATATATATATTTTATAAGGTATGTGTTTTAAGTGCGCTTCATTGCGTTGCAAACTTAACTTAACTGTACAGCATCCATCTCCATCTGTATAGCAATTTCTGGGTCCCTTGAACGACGCCCCCGCACTTTCCATCGTCGGACGGGCCAAATCCAAGTCGCAGGAGAATCTGGTCAGGGGGCCTAGCCAAACGCAGGCCAAGAAGAGCTCACTGTGCAGCTCGATGGCCAACCTGTGTCTGGCGCCCACGGTGCGGGCCGCCTTCCAGCTGGTGCCCACTCACGACCAGAAGATTCTTAACCGCATGGCGGGTAAGCGGAGCCAGCAGGCCGCCGACAAGGAGACCGCCTGGCTGGCGCGAAAGTTCTGGGAGAACGAGCGACTGGAGCGGCAGCTTCTGCGGGTGGAGCAGCTGGAGGCGTACAAGCAGGCGGTGCACGACAAGCAGTTCCAGGACTTCCTCGTGACCAAAGCACGGCTGCAGTCTCTGGCCGAGCGGGATCTGGCGGAGCTGAAGCGATTGCGCGGAGCCCTCGATGCCAAGGACGCGGCGGCCAAGAAGCGGCTGGAGGCCAGGCGTCTGGAGCGGGATCTCAATCTCTGTCAGCGCCGGTGCGAGGAGTTGCGCCGCAGTGAAGCAGTCACCGTGCAGCAGGAGGAGCAGCACCTGGACGAGACATTGCGCAAGCGCGACATCTGCATGCGACTCACGCAACGACTGCGACGGGCGGATGAGTTGCGTAACCAGCTGTTGGAGGCGTACCTAAAGCGGATGCAGCACGACAACTATCTGGAGCAAGTGCATCACGAGGAGCACTGGCGGGAGCGACAGCAGGAGGAGCGACTGCGCAGGGATCAGCTCCGCGGCGACATCGAGCGCAAGATGCATCAGTCGCAGCGCTTTGTCCAGTGTCGCCAGCGGCGTCAAGATGACCGCTTCCGTACCGCCAAGATCTCGGCCAGTCTGCGGGAGCTGGTCCGCCAGTCGGTCACGCCCGAAGGCGCTGTCAGTGGATCGATGGGTCAGGATACGCCGGCCCTCAACTCGTATGCCCAGCAGCAGCTGCAGCTGGGACGTTTGCTCTTCGATCAATCCTCCAGGGAATGATGCATTCCTCAACGTGGTTATGTAAATACTAAATTGTTTGTTGGTTTTATGTAAATAAACGGATGTGAGAAAATTGGTTGGGGTACTAGTTTGATCTCTGGATATGCAATTTCAATTTACCATTTAGAGGTATGTTAGATCTATTTCATGTATTCCTTTGGTATATTTGACACATTTTGTTATTTTAAGCACAAAACTATTTAATTTTCAGCCAATAAATTAATTTTAGTGGTAGAGATTCCTCAACATATTGATACTACATATCCTATATGATTTGACAGAATTAATAACGTAATTATAGGTATTAAATTACATTTATCAAAACCTTTAAACCTTTTTATCCATTCAATTTAAAACATCAGCAAATATATCATTTTTTTTATCACTACATTATCATTACCTACCGTGTATCTAAAATTAATTTAAAAAAAATGTTTGTATATGTAATACCTAGGTCACTTAAAATATTATTACGTTTATTCAATTAAATTCTTAAGAAACAAAATTTTAAAATGAAATTCGTCCTCATTTATATCACGTTTTTCAGTTCAATTTTTATTTGTTTAATTTACTATTTTTCAGTTCAATTTTTATTTGTTTAATTTACTGTGCATTTGGTGTCGTATGAGTCATCCATCGATCCCAACATATTATTGGAATTTGATAAAAAGATTTGGAGTACAAAGATGTGGCAAACAATAAGCGGACCGTTCATTGAACGGCGATAACAAAGACCTTAAGTCCACAGGGAACCGGGGGAGAAAGTTGGGGTAGAACAAATCTTGGTTTATGTTTATGGAGATGAAGTGAACCCCACCCTGAACCTACTCCAGGAACTCCAGAGCACGTAGGTAGGTAGTGAAGCCCCTGATTAAAGAGCCTTGATTGGGTCACTGTCCGGAGAGCAAAGACTCCTCTTAGCTCCTCCTCCTCGTTCTCCAGCGATCACGTTCCGGATGTGCAAATACTCAGAGTGAGTAGCCAGGAGGTGCACATGCATCCCAACCTGAGACAAGGTTATCGGACTGCCGCCTCAAGTCTGATTCATCGCCGACCTAGGCCAGCGGTCACTTCCTCAGTTCAAGCTTTTCGTCGCTATCAAAGTTAATTAGATTAACACTTTAACGGCTTTCTCGGTTTCAGCAGCTCAAGTGCATAATTGTTGTGGTGGTTTTGTAATTGAAACAAATTTTGTGCAAGCATGGCTTTAGTAGTAATGGTGTTTTTTTTTATGGTCGCAGAGACACTGATGCTGGATGGTGTAAATAATTCGGAATTTATTCTGAATCTTATCTAAATATGTACTACATAGGTATAAACACATACATAAAGTAAAAAAGAATATTTTATTAATAATTTAATAAATTTACTAACTTTAAGAATCAATAAATAATATCTTATTTGCTTAAGCAATATTGGTAACCTCTTATACACTTGATTTTCTAAAAAATAACTTATTTTTGATTTTAATTTGATCTACACTCTGAGTCAACGATTAAGTATGGAATCAATTATGTTTATTGCCTATTAAAAATGATAAAGTTTTTATATAAACCTATTTTGTTTTTACAATGCCTAAATACTATTTACACACTTTAAACTTAAATTTATTTGATTGCCTACTACCGTTATCACTTTAAATGTTTTAAAAGATTCTGAAGAATTTATTATTATCTCTTAATAAATAAAGCTATACATATATATGTGCGAAAAGCCGAGATTTTAATTTTTGAAGGGGTCAGAAGTTTAGGTAATGTATTTTTCAATAGAGAAAATCACAAATATAAGAAACAATATTATAAATATTTTGATTATTTAAAGGAAATTATTGATTTATTTATTAAATTCTAATGACTTTTTAACGGCGGTTTTATTGCCTTAAGCGTCAGGTTATCATAGTCATAAACTACCCTTTTATCCCATTTTGTTGATATATCATTTATATACCTATCTTGTAGAGTTTTTAAGCAGAGAGAACCGAGTCTATGGTTTTATAATATTCTGGAAAATTTTACTTGCGCTTTTTTTTACAATCTTGCTCCAAATCGACCCTTTGTTGGCCTCTATCTGTTAATCGCT